TCAGCAGTTAAGAACACTGGTTGTTCTTGCAGAAGACCCAGGTTTGAATCCCAGCACCCACATGGCAGCAAACAACTGTCCGTAACTCTAGTCCCAGGGGATCTGACAGCCTCTTCTGACCTCCGTGGGCGTTGCACGACACGGGTGCACTTACCTTGATGCAGGCAATATACACATACACATAAAATAAAAATAATAAAAAATAAAATTTAAAAAAACAAAAAAAGAAATTACTAGAACAATAACCGAGGAAGGAAAAAAAAAAGAAAAAAGAAAAATTCTTGATAGCACTTCTCCTCTCTAGTGTATTTCCCCTGTGTGGGAACACCAACTGTGGTCCCACTGGGCCCCAGCCAGCTGATCATAAGCATGAAAGACATATATGCAAGCCAACATTTTCCAGACAAGGAAAGCAACCATAGTGGTCCTCCTCCTGAGTTTAGCCTAGCTTGCTGCACTGTCTCCTCTGCCCTGCATCTCACAGCCTCTACCCCTCTGGGTTGCTGTGCCCTATCTGATTACTGCACGATCATGCTCCCTATCTTCTGACTCTCTTGGAGCCTGACTCTCTTTTCTGTTCTTGGCCAGGAAGGCTGTCCCGAGCATATGGAACAGGGCATCCTGGAGGAGGCGGGCCAACCTGTGTGGTTCTGAGACCTGAGCTTTCCAAGTCTCTGGTTTCTCATGTGTGAACTAAGGTGATGCCCTGTCTGCTTCACTGTGATGTCCCATAAGGCCCTGTGGGTAACTTGCTTGGCATGTGTCTGAGCAGAGTGAATACTTGCTTGTTGGATCCTGCCACTCTCCTGCATAAGCCTTCTATAGCTCCCTCCTGCCTTTTGTCAGAGTCTACTATGTCCTGTGCATTAGAATTATTAATCCTTAGCTCCCAGCTTGGAGTCTGGGTCATGCTGGGAAGGCCTGGTCAGTTCCGTCTCCTCTGAGACTCCATCTTGGGTATCTCCCAGAATCCTCTTCTCTGGGCCACCCCCAGGTCATGACCATAGAGCCCCATATCGGGGACTCTCCCCATTCCTTCGACTAGGAAAGAGTGTTCTGGTATGCCCTCTTTGGCAGAAGTTTACTGTCTGGGGACCTCCCAGGGGGCTCAGGGCTCTCTTGGTCCAAATCCTTTCCCTTTACTGGTGAGATGAGAGGCCTGGGAAACAGACACTTGCCAAGGTCACAGCTGGGACCAGACACCAGGTATTCTTCTCCCTGCCCTGGGCTCCCCTCCCCCCACGATGCAGGCTTCATTTTTACCTTCCTTTCTCTCTCCTCCACAGATCATTTTTGTGTCTTCTTTTCTCTCTTTTTGGGCATTTGTATACATCTGTGCATTCACACATGACTCACCTCTTGCAACATGGCCAAACTAGCTTATTGTTAGGGTTTGGCCCTCTCTGATGGCTCTGTGTGGAGGCTTTGACCAACAGTATAACCCATGGGAATGACTGTCCTTCCAACCCCATGCAGCTCCTTGCCCTCCCAGCCTCATTGAACCCACCTGTTCAAAGGGACTTTTATTCTTGAGGTCTTTGGCCCCTAAGAAGACCCAGCTGTCCCGGAAGCCCAGCTCTTTTGCGTAGGAACTCCCCAGGTTGAAGAAGAGCTTCCTGATTTCTTCATTCATTCTGCCGAGGACCAGAGAGGATGGTTGGCACAGGGCTGGGACTGAAGGACATTGGTGGGGCAGGGTGAGGTTCTCAGTGACCTGCCCCACCCTCCACCTGTATGTGCCCCCCCTTCCCTAGGAAAAGGAACTGTGCGGGGGGTCAGAGACTACTCTAAGATGGCCTTGGGTGGGGCTGGAGATGTGTTAAAACCATTTTTGGTCTGTTTATAGATATTACTCCAGTTCATCATAAAGAGTAACTGAAAGATAGATTCACCTTTGTCCCTTGAGTAAACATCATAAAGATTTTAATACAGCCAGGAGCTATTTAACAATGGGCTCCACTCTGAGAAGTGTGTTGTTAGATGATTAGTGTGGGAACATCAAGCCCGTGCAGTCAACATTCACCAAAGGACCTGTTTTGATGGGACCATACAGTATGCAGTTCGATGACCAAAAAAAGCTACGTGGCACATGAATGAGTTTTTTTCTTCTTCTTTTCATATGTATGTGTGTGCATATATATGCACATTTGCATGTATGTGGGTGCACATGTGTGCAGATGTGCATGCATGTGTGGGTGTACCTGGGTGGAGGCCCGAGGTCGATATCAAGAATCTTCTTTTTTTGAAGCAGCGTCTCTCAGTCAAACCCAGAGCCATCTGATGTGGCTAGTCTGACTAGCAAGCTTGCTCTGGGGTCCCATCTTGGCCTTCTGAGGCTGGAATTACAGGCGGGCCACCACACCCACCCAGCATTCATGTGGGTCCTGGGGATCTGAACTCTGGTCTTCACTCTTGTACAGCAGGCACTTTATCCACTGAGCTGTTCCACCAGCCCAATGAGTTATATGTTTTGCCCTAGAAGGGTCAGTATTCTTCCAAATCTGTAACATTTTCCGCATCATCCATTGTGATGCAGTATGTATGCTTATATGCACATACAATAATGTAGCATATATCACCATGTCATGATTTCTATAACCAACCAACTGCTTGGATGGGGCAAGTATTTCCTACTTTCCTCCGTCACCTCTTTGCACACTCCCACTCCTCTTTTCCTTGGGTTAAGTTGCTGGAGGGTGGAGTGGCAGGAGAGTGGAAAAGCACACCCAGGTGTGAAAGTGCTATGTGTGCATCATCAAGTGGCCTGGCGGGTGGAGTTTCCCACTTACTTGGTCCCTGGGTCATCATAGGAGGCCACCAGCACCAGTGTGCTATCTGGAATTTCTGCAAGGAATTCCACCAAGTGCTTGGGGTCTGGGGGAGGGAGAAAAATGAAGTGCTGGTTGTTTAGGAGAAATGACTGCTGCTCACCTTCATTCTCTTCCACAACCCTAATAGCCAGGGGTGACCTGGGGCAGGCTAACATAGCACTCAGGGGGCAGGCTAACCTAGCACTCAGGGGGTAGGCTAACATAGCACTCACTCAGGGGGTAGGCTAACATAGCACTCAGGGGGTAGGCTAACATAGCACTCAGAAGGCAGACTGGGGCAGCATCCTGGGGGTGGAGTTCCCTGAAGCCCTTGTCCTGTGGAAGGACAATGCAAGCAGAATAAGGGGACCTCATTCAGGTGATTTGGAGTGGCTACTGACGCTGTTATTTTAATAAGTTCTCTTGGGTGGGGCTGGGGATGTAGCTCAGTTGATAGAGTGCTTGCCTACCAGACTTGAAACCTTGGGTTTGAGCTTCACGAGGGCATAAACCTAGTGTGGTGGCACAAGCCTATAATCCCAGCACTCAGGAGGTACAGGCAGGGGGATTAGAACTTCAAGGTCATCTTGAATTTGAGACCAGCCTGGACTACACGAGACTCTGAAAAATATTTATTTTTTTATTTTATGTGTATGAGTGTTTTGCCTGCATGTATGTAAGTATATCACATGCATGCAATGCCCAAAGAGGCAGAAGAGGGCGTTGGATCCCCTGGAACTGGAATTACAGGGAATTACAGATGGTTGTTAGCTGCTATTGGGGGTGGGAACCAAACCAGGGTCCTTCTCGGAGCCATCTCTCTAGTCCCTATGTGAAACTCTTCAAAAAAAAGTTGCCTGTGATACTGTGGGGAGCGTGTATGTATGTGTGTGTGTGTGTGTGTGTGTGTGTGTGTGTGTGTGTCTGTGTGTGTCTGTGTGTGCAAACCACTGGTCTAAGGGCTCTTCTATCCCCCACCCCCACCCCAGAGAACAGAGCATCCTCATCTCTCAAGAACACCTTATACATTTTCAACCCCTTCTGTGCTGGTTAGTGCCCAGGCTATCTGTGCTGACTTAAGGGTTCCATGTGGCTTTGGACAGTGGAGAGCTGTGAGAATGAACAGTCTCCCGCATCTCTTGCTGCATCAAGGAGCAAGACTCTGTTTACGTCTCTGGTGCCTCCTTGACAACAAGGCTAGATTAAGTACTTGATGGGGGAAGAAGGCAATGTGAGCTACCTAGTTGACTGTAAATAGGTTTAGTTTTATAGCCACTAATTGGGAAACAATACTGTTTCCTTTCACTATATTTGGGTAAAAGGACATGAGCCACTGAAAAGGAAAATACTAGCCATGTAGGTGTGGAAACCTGAGAAAGAGTTATAAATGGTCAGGAGTTTGGGAAAGAGTGTGCCAGTGCTCAGAGTAGGGACTATAGCTGTGAGGATGAGCAATAGCCCTGCTCACAGCACTTTGATGAAGCTAAACATCATAATTTAAGAAATACAATAAATGGATCTTGTGGAATAATAAATTGTTAGCAGAACTGACTACATAATTTTGGGGACCCAGTGAAAATGAAAAAGCGGGGCCTTTCATTTCAAAATGGTTAAGAATTTTAAGACTGGGGGCTGGAGAGATGGCTCAGTGGTTAAGAGCACTGGTTGCTCTTGCAGAGGACACAGGTTTAGTTCCCAACACCCCCATGACAGCTAACAATGTCTGTAACTCATGTTCCAGGGATCCGACGCCCTCTTCTGACCTCCATGGGCATTGCATGACACGGGTGCACTTACATGCAGACAAAACACTCATACAGTAAAACAATAAATAAAAAAAGAATTTCAAAACTGACTACAGATAATCAAACTACCAGCCAAGTTGCTAATGGAACTTAAATAACTGGATTCCAGTCCAGGCAGATGAGCACCTCTTCTGTGTGCTGTGCTAAACAAGCAAGGTGCTGAAGTCCAAAAAGTCAGACAAATGCACAGATATCACACATTTGTCTGTGTAGAGAAGCAGAATCTGCAGAGTGGGGTGCCTCTTGGAGGTCCTCTCTGGCTCTTAGGGGACTGTGTCCTGCTCTTGGGTCCACTAGAAATCCTGGTAGCCTTGATGTAAAGTACTCTCCCTAGCAGGGCTTGAGTAGGTGAACCAGTTGGGTCTTATGCCCTCTCCCTCAGCACAGTAATGAGTACACACATGTCTGGCACTGATGCCAACACGGATCTTTCTTCACCTGGAGTTCTGCCCTGGTTTCTAGAGCCCTCCTGCCTCCAAGGGAAGGCCAGAATTGCTGGGAAGTGTAAGTGAATCAGGGCTTTGAGCACAGAGCTCCTCACCCCTGTCCTGGCTAACTCTGAGGTGGCGTGGGACAGCTCTCTAACTCCATGTTGGTTTCCTTCTTCTGCCTCACTCCCCCAAACCCCACTAACATTCCCTAAGATGAATTCCTAAATAAATCATTAATCTTGAACTCTTGTCCCAGGATATGTGCCTGGGAGATTCTAATGCAGCCCTAGAGAGGTATTTCAGACACAGAACAACCTTTAACTCTCCCCTATCTGCACCCATGACTCCCCTGAACAAGATGTCATGACATCAGTGCCCACATAGGTGTTTACCTCCAGAGTACATGTCAAAGCTGCCCTTTCTCAGCACCTGTCCTGTGGTTCCTAGTGGAAAAGAGACAATTATTACTTCTTACAGTATAAGTCACTCTGCTTGTCATTTGGCTGAAACTGGCCCCTGGGTAGTCTAAGGTCTAAAACCAGAACGAGAATTGAATGAGACCAAGCCCTATGAAGGCAATTAAGAACCACAATAGGTGCCTAATAATTGTTGGGCTGGAGCCAATTTGAGAAGTTGAACATAGTGACTGAGCATCTGGATTGGAGTAGAATCTACAGGTTAGAGTCTGTGTTCTGCCCTCATGGTTGCTCACACACAGCATAGCACTTTGTCCTCAATTTCTGTCCGTGTGCAAGAATGTATGGACATGAAATAGGCCATATATAAAATAGATAGTAAGCGTACAAGATACATTTTTCTGAAGAACAGTACTAGGGACATGGGTGTCATTACTCCCACCTAAGTAGGAAATCTGCAACCCAAGTTCTGAAGGACAAGGGATTTCCAGGGGATTTCCAGGGTCTGAATTGCTTCTGTGGTCTGGAGGAAAGTCACAGTTCTTGCTCCTTACCACTAGATGACAGTGTTGCAGAGTGGATGGCAGCTCTGTGGCTTCTTAAAGCGAGTGGGTAGCGCAATTCTTCCCGAAGGTTGGGGGGTGGGGGTGGGGGTGGCAGGCTCACCTGGCAGCCTCCTGCATTCTCAAAGCCATATGAAGCTTTACCCAATGTGCTCGCGCGCGTGCGTATTTATGATTTTTTCTGGAATCGGAATTGTTTTTTAAAGGAAGCTCAGTCCACTAAAAGGTTAAGGACCATCCACATTTAGCATTGCTTGTGTGGCTCTGGCTAATTATGCAGTGAGGCATCTCAGGCTTGGAGACAGTTTGCTGGACTTCCCCACAGCTGCCAGGCAGAAGGTGCTAGCTATCTACGTGCCTGGAGACGCTTGCCGTGCAAGGAGGCAGCCAGCTGCGTGATTAAGACCTGGAGCTGGTCAGGTCTGGGCTCAAGTTGCTACGTGACCTTGGGCAAGCTGCTTATCCTTTCTGAGCCTCTGTTTCTTATCTGGAAAAATGGAGATACTGAGCTCAGCTTCTCCCTAGGGTGGTTATGAGGTGACATGACACAGCTGGCGCTCAGTGAGTGTCCAACAGGTAGCTCTTATTGTCACTGATTATTTTTGATGTTTTTGATTTTGTGAGACTCCAGGCAGGAAGGTTCTGTCTGGGACTTCTTCCCTCTCCCTTTCCTGCTGCCTGGAAGGGGCTATCTTCCTTTTCTCCTGATCAATCCCTGCTGTCCTTTAAGCTGCAGCTGATCTCCCTCTGGAAACTTCTGTGATTATACCTGCCCCACTTGCTGAATCTCAGCTTCCTTACTGTGACACCTAGGGGGATCATCAAGCCAGGGCCTGTCATTCCAGGTTACAGTTGTCCCTAGTATGGGCCTGGCCCACACGGTCTGCTGTCAGCAGTTAGTAAGTAAAGGAAGACTTGTTTTCTGTCCCCTGTGTCTTCATGTGTGTGATGTAAGCTGGAGTAGCTCCAGGGGTGGGGCTGTGTTTCACGGAAGTGAATCCTGGGGTAGGAGCCTAGGGTGATCCTGGCTGGACTTGTGTAGAATGCAGGACCTGCTGCTTCCCCAGGGTCAGCCCTACTCCCTCCTGACTTCTGCTGGATGACCCAAGCAGGTGACAGGTCCTCTCCCTGGGGCTCAGAGTGTTGTGGACACAGGCCACTCACCATTCACCAGGGCGACGTTCAGGCCTCTGCCCACGTTGTTCCTCACAGGACTCATGATACTGAAGATAAAGAAGGGAAACAAAATATGGTCTGTGGTTTCAAGAGAAGTAGAAATGCTCTCCTCTCAGGTGGAGACTCTGAGGGCCTGGCGGAAGCACCAGGACACATATGGAGCGAACTGGGCCATGGTTTTTCTCCTGGAAGCCTGTGGTGGGCTGCATTCTCTGGGTATGGCACATTTGGGCTGGGGTAATCTGCTCAGAAAAAAGAGGCAGAGTCCCTGCCTGGGGCTCTGAGGTGCTAAGGTAGGATGCCCTCCTGTGAGGCCACAGAATCCAGAGAAATATTGCTATCCTAGGGCTGGGCTCCCCCCTGCCCAGCATCCACACCCTGTCCTCTGGTGTTCCTCAGGACAGGGTGCTTCTTCACTCTCAGTCCCTGGACTGTGAACTGACCTCTTCCTGGCCTGTGATAGGCTAAGGCCTGGACTTCAGACCCAAGTCAGTCAGTGAGACCCAGTCTTGGAATGTTTTCATCTTGGTAGGGTGCTAAGGCTGTGCTAAGGTATCAAAGCACATGGCAGGTCCACACCCCACAGAGAAGTACATTTTCAGTGGAGGAAAGCAGAGCTAAAAATGGTGTCAGAGGAAGGTCAGATGGTGCCGTTTGAGCTGCTGGATCCCGCTCAACCAGAACTTGTTTTCTTCAGCTGTTTAGGTACATGAACTAGTACAGTCTTGGTTTTGCCTAAGCAACTTGCATTTAGGTTCAGTATCCTGTGGAAGGATGAACTTAACTTTCACGAATGGATAATGTGTATATAGTCTTTCCCCCAACTTAAAGACCCATCTGTTCAATGTGGCAGGATGAACTTAACTTTCACGAATGGATAATGTGTATATAGTCTTTCCCCCATCCCTGTTACTTGCTGCATCTGGATTTTGATATCTGGGCCTTGATTTGGAACGCTTCCCACAGGCAGCCCCTCTCACTGGAAAACCAGCAGCTTGTCTGTTGGATAGACCTGCCTTCAGTCTGGCTAGCGACCTGTCTGAGCCTCACTTCATTTGCTGTACAGTAGAGACAATAACAGCCCAACCACGTGTGCTGGGGCTGTAAGGAGGCAACTCTGACACACAGAGAGGTGTGACCAAACTAGGAGCGTTTTGGATGATTGCTACTTGCAGCTTACACACCTTGAGTAAAAGGAAGCCTAGACAGGGCATGGGCTGTCCTCACAGGCCTGCCCCTGTAGCCTGACTTTTCAAGTGAATGAATGAGTGAATTAAATGGAATGCAAGCAAAGAAACCCAGCTACCCTGCGGATACTTACATTTCATTTTCAAAGCACATGGAAGGGCCTACGACGTTCGCAGCTCCACTGCTGATTTTAAATGCAAAGAAGTTGGCAGGGCAGGGCTTGCTGAGACCACACTTGGTCTTCAGGACCACTGCGGAAGGCAACATACCAGTTTCACAGGGGCAGAAGCTGGGGGAAGGGACCGGGGGAGGAGGGCCTCTAGCAACTGCATCAAAATGCACAGGACTGTGGCTGTGGGTCTGGTCACCTCAGAATTAATTTTGGGACTTCCTAAGGTATGTTGCCTCCTGAAGAGCTTGCTGAGTCCTGTGCACTTTATTGCCTTGTTGAGCCATTCCAGTAGGTCCTGTGCCTGAGCCTCTTTCTTCACTGTGTGAACTTAGAACCTCTGGGCTGGGAAGGATGATGTGGTTAGCAGGCTGAGGGTCTTTCTAGCCCTTAATGGCAAATATTGGGATGATTCTAGGCCTTGGGAACCACTGCTGGAATTCCCAGAGCCTGCCTGATTAACTGCAGCTAAGTCTGACAAACCTGATGTCCACAGGCCAGCTTAAGCAGGCTTTTCCAGAATTGATTTTCTGACCATCCAGCCTTCACCACCAGGCTGCTGGATGAAGGGAAATGATACCTGTGGGGGAGATCTCAGCCCTGGGGAGCCAGGATATGCTTTCTGGGCTCTGACTGAAGGGGCTGTCCAAACCCTGGACTCCATCTCTCCAGGAACCCTGGTGCCATTTGTTCAGGGCTTGGTGCTGGCCTGCTGTCAGGAGCACTGTGTATATCTTGTGTGTGCATGTGGACACATGTGTACTGGGAGGGGTCAGTTAGGAACTATGAGCTGCTTCTTCCACTAACATGCTGTGTGCTAGAAGTCTCTCCTATTATCTTTGCCAATTGTCAAATTGGGGAATTGGATTAGATCAGAGTGGTCCAATAGGTTTTCTGTTAAATGTCAATTTGGACCTACTGGGAGAGGCTTAATGACAAAACCCTTGAAGCTGTCTATGGGTTTGGAGAGCGAGGCTGTGGGATTGATTAATAATGCCTGCCGTGTGATGGGACAGTGTGGAATGTAGCATATGGGCTTGAGTTTTCCATTCCCCCTAGCATCTACAGGATGCTGTGATTGTGTAGGCTTCAAAATTGGACTGAGAGGTTTCAGTGGGATGGGATCAAGGATACATATGGTTTGTGTGTGTATCATGTAGTCTGCTCTCTGCAGTCCTGTGTGCACTGGGCTCCCATGTCTTATAGTCACTAAAATCCTATCTACGGAGCTCAGCTGTCTTCATAGTCATCATGTTGGGTCAAGAGGTGGGGGAGGCCATGTGCAACAAGCTGTTGGGGAGATGGCACCTTGACCAGAAGGGTGGAGGTATTTGTCTCCTCCTTCCCACTATAGTTGTGTGGCCTTGGCCAGGAGGTCTCACCTCTCCAAGCCTCAGTTTCCCCATCTGTAGGAAGGGAATAATCATGGAACCTACATGAGGGTGTATGTACCTTTATATGAAGTTGGGGTGCACATGGGATGCAGTGTCACTCTCAGCAGCAGTCACGCCTCCCCCCATCCTTCCCCTTCTCTGTTCCTTGGGAGCCTTGCTGAAGCCGAAGCTCTCTTTCAATTTTGGCTCCCAACTAGGTGGGGTACCAGAGAGAAAAGGCGGGGTGCCCTGTGGTCTAAACTGCCCAGAAGGAATTATGGAAGGGAAAGAGGTGAGTCAGGTTCCTGCCAGTCTGAATGGCTGAGAGGGGTTCCCTGCTGTACCCTGCTCTAGAAGGACAGAGGTGTGGACTAGAAAGGTTTTAGGCATCCACATTTCTCTGGAACCTGCAGCACTGGGAACAGAGACCCTGGGACACCCTGCCCGAGGGAACACGGGGGGCCTGGGTAGATACTTACAGGTCTCCTTGGGGACCAATTCTGTTGGAGAGAGAGAATGTGGTTAGTAAGAAAGTATTTCAATCCTCTAAGAGAGGGGCTGAGGGGTGGGCAGTGGGAACATAGGTAGAAACGCTCATGTACAACCATAAACATATATGCGTGCACACACACACAGATGCATATGCATGTACACATGTGCACAAAGACACAAACAGACACATACCCACACATAGACAGATACAAACAACTGTTTTTTGTTTAAAATCAAGCTATGCTGCATTGTGAAACCCCTGGAAGTTGAGCCCTCACTCCTTGCATGTGGCTTCAGTTTACTTGATAGCACAGGAAATCTGTCACAGCCATGCTCACTGGGCTGTGGAGAGGATCTAGTAAGACCAGTGTGGAAGGAGCCCAGACCAGGGAACCCCAGTGAGAAGGAGCATTGTGTCACTGTTGGTGCTGTGAGCCCTAGGCATCTCTTTCCTGAATGCCTGCTGAGGAATCCTCCTGGGCCTGAGGGATCCTGGTGACTACCTGGCGTTTTATCTCATCTCCTAGTTGTTTCACGGTTCTAGGTCAGGTCGCTACTATACTGGTGTGAATCCCAGAGGACAGGATACCCCAGTGGAAGTGGAGGTGTCAGGGAAGGAGTGCTCCTTTTTTTGGGATCCCACATATTCACTTTATACATGGTTCTCAGGGCAGGGAGCCATTGATCTTATAGTGTCCATTCTTCTATCTCCAAGGCCCGAAGCATAGCAAGTGACCAAGGCTGGGCCAAACATAATTCTTTAGTTGTCTAGAGACAGAGTCCTTCCTTGGGTTGATATATTCCCCAGGTCCTGGAGGTATGGGAAGGTAAAGAACCCTTTTAGCCAGAAGATGGACATCTGGAGCTATCATGTGCCTTAGGGAGAAGCTGACCATGGGAATAGGTTCTACTCTGTTGAGAGAAAGCTGTAGCAGTACCCAGGAGGCTGGGTGTGTGGCTCAATTGTCACAGTCTTTGCTTGGCATGCACAGAGCACTGGGTTCGATCCTCAGCACACCATAAAGCGGGTGTGGTGGTACACATCTTTAATTCTTGCACTCTGGAGGACCAGAAGTTCAAGGTCATCCTCTGCTACATCTGGAATATGAGGCCAACTTGGGCTACATGAAACTCTATCTAAAAAGAAAGGAAAGAAACCAATATCATCATTCAAGAGTACTATGAGTTAAGCCCTGGAGGCTTTGTGGGCATCTCTGAATCCAGTTACACCTGAAGGCTAATGCCCATGAACTTCTCACTTATGGTACTTTAATACATGCTACAGAAACTAGTTAGAGTTCAGTCTATTTCTTTCTGTTGCTTGCCAGGTAATCTGGGTGTTTGTAACCTCATTTTTTTGTGTGCTGTGAATCCCAGTGGTGGTTTGGAAAAGCTTGTGAGCTCCCCTCAGAATGGGTCTGTACTCACTCCCTTGAGATACCAGCACTTTCTTCTCCAGCAGAGTGTAAGTTATTAAATGCATAAAATAAACCAGGTTGGATTTTTAAGGAAACCAATGATTATCACCTATCTATATGATAATGATTAACATAAATTTGTGCTACAGTAATATATGTACTTCAATATCAGTGCAGGAAATAATAAAACGGGGGTGTATGCCACAGGTCAGGGACGTCCTGAGATGGGATTCTGGATGGCTTTAGTGCCTGTCTTTCCCCCTGGACACATACCTGCTATTAAAAGCATTTCTGGAGACTCTGATCAGGGGAATGCATTGTTGTCTTTGGAAGCACTGTAACTTAGTCTTCTTGTTTCTCTGACTTAGAACACAAGCAGGGGCCACCTGTTCCTCATTCTGAGGTCCCTAGGACCTGGCACAGAGCTTGAGCCTTAATGCTCATAGGTTGGAAATGTTAGTTTGTCAACTCCCAGATAATCAAGTTCTGAGAGAAAAATAATTACTGGGGTCTCTTCAACTGTTGCTCCCCGTTACATTCAGGCTGCGGTTCAACCCTGTACAAAAACCATGTCCCTGGAGCAGAGACATGTTGGCCACCAAGCATCTATATAAAATGAATTTTCCCAATATGTGCTTTTGGTCCCAGCTGACAAGAAGCCAATGGGATGAAGGACAGTGAGTCTTCCACTGTGGGGAGTGTTCAAGATACAGTGCCAGATTTCTTCCTGTCTTGTGAGGCTGTGAGTGGCCTTGGTCCCCACAGCTTTTGTTGGATTCTGTCGGTGAAGGTGGTTCTTGGTCTTCCAAGACAAGTCTAGGGGTTACATTCCTTCCCTTTCCTCTTTCTCTTGATCAGAAAAGATTTGAATGTACGTACCCATGCTCCCATCCCTGTTCTGACATCTCTAAAGGAGAACTTGGATGAGCTTTTAAAGTCTCCCTGACCTTCTGTCTTCTCAGAACACACGAAACAATTCCACAAATCATGCTTGAGTCCATTACACAACCACATCAAGAGTGATGCCCAGGGCGCATTTGTGCAGGTCAAATGAGACTATTCAGGCAAATCAGTGAGCAACCATTCATCTACTTGTTCATCCATTCATCCACCCACTCACACCCCCCATCATTCCATCTATTCATCCACCCACTCATCTGTCCATTTACTTACTGGCCTATCCACCCTCCTGTTATTCGACCCACCATCTACCTACCCACCCACCCATCTATTCATTCACCTATCTATCCACTCACCTACTCACCTGCCATCCCATCCATTTACACATCCATTTATCTATCCAGTCTATCCATCTGTCCATCCCTCCATCCACCCATTCATCAGTTCATTCATTTATCCATCCATCTACTTACCCACCATTCCATTTATCCATCCATCACACCATTCCATTTATCTATCCATCCATCCATCCATCCATCCATCCATCCATCCATCTTTCTCTCATTCATCAAATACTCGCTAGTACTGTCTTTGTATACAAAATATAATCCTTGCCTTCCAGAAAGTCACAGTCTAGGAAGTGGAATCAGGCATAAACCAAGGAAACAAATACCACAATGATGGTGTTTGGAAGAAATGGGCTGACACAAGAGAGGCTAAATAAGGAGGAGGGAACCACAGCTAGAGCTGGGGAGGTCGGGGAAGGCCTCTGAGCTAGTGACATTTGAGCAGGGAGCTGAAGGCTGAGAAGGAGCAGGCACAGGGGCCTTGTATAAGGAGGGTTTGGGACAGAGGGAACAGCATGTAGGAGAAGCCTAGACAGTATTCTTTCTTCTCTTCTTTCCTTCCTTCTGTCCTTCCTGAGTCTAGGGCCTTGGGACACTTCCCTTGTTCCCCTGGGCTTTAGCCTTGCCAACAGTCCAGAGATCTCATCTCCTACTCTACAATGTCAATGCATAACTCTCCACATCTAGCTGCTTCCTGGGTCACCCCAGGATGTAGGTCCTCAGCCCCTCAGCCCTGTTCTACATATTATGGGCAGTGAGCCCCACTCACCCAGCCAGCGAGGCAGCCGGATAGTATTCCTGTTGAAGCTGATGTAGTTTCGGAGGAAGAGCCACATGGCGACCAGGGCAAAGACGAAAGCCACCAAACGAATTAAACCTGTAAGCAAGAAGACTCTGTCAAGAGATTGCACGTCAGACTGACAGAAGGCTACAGTGCAAGGCCATGCAGCAAGTCCACGTTCAAGTTCTTACCAAATCCCAGTAGCAACACCACTCTGGGAGATCCCTGCTTCAGGAGTAGATCATACCCACACCAGGAACTAGAACATGAGACCACGTGTCGAGACCATATTCAAGTCTATGTCAGGTTAGATGGTGAGATCATACAATCATATTTTATGAACACTTCCCAAAGAAAGCCATTGGGAGGGAGTTGAAAGTGCTCCTTCCTGGGCTCCACTTAACCTCATAGAGAGAACCCTCAGGGATGTGGCCTGGGTGCAGCCCAGAGGTAAGGACTCACAACTGTAGCGGAGAGCCAGTAGTGCAGGCTCTCAAGGGCTCCCCTGCTGGAACTCAGCCTCTCTGAGCTGCAGTCTGTCAGTCTTAGGGTGGACATGGTAATGCCCTTACCACTGACATCCTTGTTTGTTAGGAGGGGTGTTACAGACATCAACAGTGGGTAACCTTCCGGTGGCCTGGGGACTTGGAGATGCCCTCTACCTTTGGCATCAGCTCACAGCCACTATAGATAACCACAGAGTGAACTTGCTCAGTAGTTCTGAAATAGGCGACAGCTTGTCAGTCTTCCTTACCTCACATCCAGCTCACTCCCTGAGAAGCCACTCCTGTCACATACACAGGCGCAGGGCCAAGAGCCTGACCACTCCCTTGCCTTGCAAGGGTTAGAGAATGAGTCTGGCTTATCTCTTTTGGTTTTGGGAGTACCCTTTGTCTTCTGATGCAGTTTGTCTTTGTACGGACTTCCCCTTGGGCATGAGCTCATACTTGGTAACTCCCATTTTGTGCCAGGTACTATGCAAAAAGCTTTAAAACACATGATTGCAATTCATCCTCCTCTTTGTGCTTGATAATGTCAATTGACCTCATTTTATAGATGAGGAAACTGAGGCTTGAAGAGGTACCTGCTTACTCATGACCACTTGGCAAAGTGCAGTTGGAACCTAAACAAGTAGGCTGACTCCAGAGTGGGTGCTTGTGCCTCCTCACAGTTGCTTGAGAGCACAAGAGGGTGTGTGTATCTTATGTGCTCTGGTTCCCCTGCCTGTGTAAAGGGGTCTGCTCTGAGGGGTGTGCACTGGAAGACCTCTAGCTTATGCTGCATACCATGGTATGAATATCTTGGATCAGTCCTCCTTGAGGTTAGTATACGGTGTCTGGTTTATGGCCACAGTCAGGTGTTTTCAAGCTGGGATCTCAGGCAGATGGGCCTCTAGAAAGATGTCATTCCAGCCCTGTAGCCTGTAGGTGTGTTCAACTTATGGCCAGCAGGAAACAAGAGCCCCAGAGAGCGAGGAATGTGGCCCAACACAAGATGGTAAACTTACTTAAAACATTATGACACTTTCTGGGATTGAGGAGATGGTTCAGTGGGTAAAGTACTAGCTGCATAAGCAGGAAGTCCTGAGTTCTTATCCCTAGTGCCCATGTAAAAGCCAGGTGCAGGGGTGGCCATCTGTAATCCCAGTACTCCAGTGGGGAGATGGGTGGAGGAGGCAGGCAGATCCCAGGGGCTCCTGTCCAAAGGTTGGACATGCCCTGTAGGGGCAGTCATATCCTGGGCTTTCCCAGGTTCAACTGCATGATGCCTCCCTGGAATTCTTGTTGGAGGATTTGGGAAGAGATATTGAGCCTCCTCTGAGGCCAAGATGTGTGGACACTGATGATAGAAGAGCATCTCCAAAGTGAGGCTTAGAGATGCACCCTTGAAGCTTTAGAACCTTGTCCTACCTGACACTCTCATCCTGTCCAGGTGGAGTATGGCTTGGGGTCAGTGTTAACCTGTAGAGAGAAGAAAATCGAATGGGAAACTGGCCTCTGGGGTCTGAAGATGAACAAGACTGACTGAGTATCAGGAAGGGTGCTGGAACTGAGACCATAATCCTTTGGGTTGTCTTTCTCTTTACCTACGCGTAGAGGAAGTTTTCCTCCTTTCCTTTCTACCTCCATCTCTCCTTCACTCAGCCTCCTATATTCAATTCACTATGTCTTTTGTAGGTGCAGAGATTGGAAAGTAGAGGAAGGGGCTAGAGAGATGGCTCAGCAGTTAAGAGCAGTGGCTGCTCTTCCAAAGGACCTGAGTTCAGTTCCTAGCACCCAGTTGGCAGCTAATAACTGTCTATAACTCCAGTTCTAGGGGATCTGATGTTCTCTTCTAGCCTCCCATGGCATTGCATGTACACGGAGTACTTACATACATGCAGGCAAAATACTCATACATATAACATAAAAATAAATAAAAAAGTAGAGGAAGGTACAGTCTTGGAGGATTTAGTTCATCTTCTCTCCCTTTCTCCTTCCCTTTTTCCTTTCTTCCCTCCCTTCTTGCTTCCTCTCTTCCTTCCTCCCTCCTGCCTGCCCATCACAGCTGTTGCACTAGCTAGCACAGTAAAAGCACCAGGGAACAGAAGCTCAAGTGACTTCTCTTGATGTACTCGAACATGAGTACGCAGGACTGGCACATAGCAGTGTGCTCGCACCAAGTGCTATATAAACATCTTCGTTCACGGTTGAATAAGGCAGACTCAACATGGTTAAGTTCAAGGTCATTCAGCTGGTGAAAGAGAGAGGTGAGATTTGGAGCAGGTCCCCAGCATTCCCCTCAGGGTCACACTGCCAGTATCTTTTGACTCAGAGGAGCACTGAGCTAAGACAAAGCTTCCCCTTCTGTGTCCTAGGCAGGATTAGGCAATCCATTGCTCGTCCTCTTGTACCTCCCTCAGGCACTGGGCACTTGCCAGGAACTTGGCATCTTTGAAAGCCTCCTGGAGGCCAGTGACGATTAGGGGAGGGGAGGGCAGGGTAGTTGGTAAGTGTAGGGCCTGGGGCAGGTGGCCTTTTCCAACATGTGACTTCACTTCCCTCACCCTTCTCCTTTAGAAGCTTCTTTCTCCCAAGAATCCATTTCAACAGACCTCCAAAGCCCAACTGCCAAGGACTCTGGCCTGAGACTGGAGACCAGTCTTTACCCCCACAGAGGCCCAACACCCTCCTACGCTGGGGCAGGTATTGTTGGCCTCCCTTGGTCTGTTTGGGAGGCACTCAGGCAGGATCTGTTCTTCACATTTAAACAACAGTAACAGCAACTGCAAAACCAACAGTGGGAGCACCCACTGCCCCCCTCACCTCCTCCAGAGCCTCCTGGGTCTTTGTTTTCAGATGCATCCTTGGGGCATAATTTATTGCCTGAGGGGGTCTCAGATGAGATTTGAAGACCATTCTGTGAGTGCCCCCCCCCCAACAAAGTAGAAGAGCAGGGCCAGGAGGGGGCAGACATGGATAGTCATAGCAAGCAGTTAGGTAGGGATGGAGTGAGCTGGGAGGAGAGAGAGAGGAGGAAGCCGAGGTGATGAAGGACAGAGGCTAAGAAAGAGACAGAAGAAAGAGCCAGGAGCCTTGCCAGATCCGCAGAGATACAGAGCCAGGCAACGTTGTTCAGCGCAGGAAGAGAGGGTCAGGGCACATACCAGCCTCTGGCTGGGAAGACAGCTTGGCAGGATCTGGCTTCAGGGTGGGGAGGGGGCAGTGGGCTCTCCAGCCTGCAGTCCTTCCTGCTTGGGTCCCCAGCTGCCCACCTGGCACCTAAAGAGCTTCCTGAATCCCCACTGTACTCACCTTGGCAGCCAGGGCTCAGGACTGGTGTTCTGAGGCTGGGGAGAGGGGAGACACCAGGAACAGATAACGTGGGGTGGGGCAACAATTCTTTCTGCAGCCACCAAAACCTGAGAAAAGTTTCTCTCATAGTCACAGCTGGGGATTGTCATAACCTGTTATTCAGGTTGCACAGTTTTAGGAGAAAGGTCTCCTGGCTTGATGTGGCCTGACCTGGTGGCCTGGGGCACAATTATAGCTGCAGGCTGGTGACCTGTGTTCACTGGACAGGTGGGAAGGGAGAGAGGAAGGAAAGTGGGAGGGGTTGTGGAGGGGGGGTCCTGAGCTGCTGTGAGCTGAGCCTTCCCTCCCTGACCATCAAGCTACTGACCACTTCCCCATCCTTAGGCTCTCCCTCTGTCCTGTCCCTTCCCATGCCCCCTTCTGATTTCTGCTTGCCGTGTTTATACACCTCAAACACTTTTTTTCCCCCAGCAGGTCCAGGGCTACACTGAGCATTGAGGAAGTGCTCAACACACATTTGGAAATAGGACAAATTGAATTCCTGCATAGTCTTGGAAGGATAGGGTGGTTTAAATCACTAGCTAGAGAAGATGAAAGTTTAGAAAGGCCAAGTGACTTGTCTAAGATCACACAGGTAATTTTGGATTTCATTTTTGAAGGATTGCAGTCTGGGCACCAGGCACAGGGAACATGGTTGTGAATGAGTAGTATCCTGGAGCACCCCTGGGTCTTTTACCTGCTGTCCTCTTGTCTGAACACTGTTCCTAAGAGTCTGTGTCTGGAATACTCTTGCTCAGCCTACAGGTTTCACGGTAAAAATCGCTTCTCTGACCTACAAGTCAAGGTAAAACACCTACACTGGTCCTGTATGGAGGCACACCATCTTGTGTCATCCTACCCTGTCACATGAGGCTGACCAGTCAGAGTTTTTTTATTTCCTTTGAATTGCCTTTGAAGTGAGCATAGGATGGATATATAAAGGCTAGGAGAGAAGTTCTTCACTCCCTGGAGATGCTAAGTGGATATCTGTAAGTCTGGGCTGCTGAGGTCACAACCATGCATCCTCTCCTGTCACAGACTTGACTTGCCAGACGGGGCTGAGCAGCTGGGCAGTGCATGAAGCCCTGGTGGAAGAATCAGGCTGTGAAAAGTCTGTCATGCTGGTAGAGAGGCTACATCTGGGAGTCAGACAGACCTGGACTTGCTGCTTACGAGCTGTGTATTATATTTGGTACCCCTCTCTGGGTCTCAGTTCATTCCCTTGTATAATGAGAGTGATGCTGTCTACCTGTGGCGGAAGGGGCGCTGGCCGCCAGCCACCCTGCTGAGGAGGGCTTTGCTGGCCTCCCAGCACCCAGCACCACCTCCACCTCATCTTGCTTGCAGACCTCTCTCTTGCTGCTTCCTGCTCGGCTCCTCCTAGGCATGATTCCCACACAGATGTTTGCTCTTCCTGCAGAACCCTGGTGTCACCACAGCATCACTGCCTGCTGGTGGTGACATTTCCTTGCCTTTTCTTTTTGCTCAGTGTTAGGCACTGAACCTAGAACCTTGGGCATGCTGAACACATGCTGTTATACTGGAGCTTTCCCCATGCCCAGCTTCTGTTGTGACATTCGTAAAGGCCAGATAGGAGCCAGATGTCAGTTTCTTCCTGTTTGCTGGACACCTCTGGACACAGGTGCCTTTCAGCTCAGTTATGACCTGCCCAGAACTAAGGTGAAGAGAGAAAAGGCAAGATTCTCTCCAGGATGGGGAAGAGGTGGGGAGGAAGGAGAGTCAGAATATCTCACCAGCAGTACGAAGAAGTGAACACTTCCTCTGTTCAATTTTGGCTCTTGACCCTTCCTTGGCATCTTGAGGACCTCTCCTCAAGGCGCTTATACTGTCTCATGGTCAACCCTGAGCTGTGGGCCCCTGCTTCCCAAAGCCACTCCAGGGGGCCTTCATTCATGTCCTAGTGTTGGTATGAGGGATGGCGATGGCTATGCTGAGAATGAAAAGGCTGTCTGTAACCCAGGCTTCTTTCTGCATCAAAATGGCTTCTTCCTTTTCACCTTACACTGAGCATTCCTGCCCCCAAGCTAGACTGCCCAGAGAATATTTCTGGACTTTACTAATTTACCTCACTCCTGGAAATTCAAGTTCTGGCTATTTTCCCATCATCCCGGGACACTCTACAGACCAATTGTGGCCACCAAAGCCCACAGAGCTCTGTTATTTCACAAGCTTTTGTCTGGTCCCTCATCCCTGGCAGGTGGGAAATTGATTATTTGGAATGAATTCTATGGGAGATGGAAGCCCCATGGAGGGAGGAATGGGGCCTGAGGAAGACAACTTAGGAGGAAAAAGATAAGCCTGAGCTAGAGAGACATAATCAGAGTAAAAACTAAGGCCCTAAGGGACTGAGTGACATATGCTGACAGACACACAGGTGCATACATGTGAGGCAGATCCTGCCAAGGGGCAGCCTGGAACCAGGGGCTGTGGGAGGCTCTGCCTAGGCCAAGTCTCCCCTTTCCCTGAGTTTCTGATCACCCCTGATTTACCCTAAAAGCCCCAGCCTGTGTAACCCCCATCTTTTATTCTTGAACTGCCTTTGTAGAGCCCCAGTTTTACAGGTAATTACTGATCACGTCACCGATACAGAGCAAAACAAACAGTGAATAAATCCATAGGTAATAAGGCTGTAAGGCTGGTGGTGGAACGGGTTTGTTCCAGTGATATTTATTTAGGAAGAGAATAAGCCCATTATTTCCATAATACTCTGTTTTATCTGTGGCTTTAAAAAAATGTTTAAATTTCTCTCTCTCTCTCTCTCTCTCTTTCTTTCTCTCTCTCTGTGTGTGTGTGTGTTTGTGTGCATGTGTATGAGTGCTTATCTGTGGCTTTAAAAAAATGTTTAAATTTCTCTCTCTCTCTCTCTCTCTCTCTCTCTCTCTCTCTCTCTGTGTGTGTGTGTTTGTGTGCATGTGTATGAGTGCCTAAGGAGGCTAGATTCCCTGAAGCTGAAGTTATAGGAGGTTGTGAACTGCCCCATATGGGTACTGGGAACCAAACTCTGACCCTCTGCAAGAGTAGCAAGTGCCTTTAACCTTTAAACCATTGCTCCAGCTCCTATTTATTGGTTTTAATGGATTATTTCTCTTGCTCCATCCAATCGTAGC